AAAAAATCTACCAAAACTAAGAAAATTCACCATATTCATAATCAAACAGTATGTTTACTGCTTGGATCATTCTGTCTACTCAGTTTGGTGTTTATTTTATGTAAATATGTCGAATTACAGCGGACTTAACATTTGTGAGGCTTAAAACTTGGATCAGAAAATCAGTTGGTTGCCTACAAAGGAGGAATATAGCCCTTTGTAGACATAGACATAAAACGGGTCCATGTCTATGTTCCCTAGCTCTATGTTCCCTAGCTCTATATGTTCCCTAGCTCTATGTTCCCTCAGCTCTATTCAAGTTACGCGTTGACCTAAGGTCAACTAATGGTCAGAGTGACCAGTGTTCAAGCAATTGTCAAAATGATCATTGGTCAAGCAATGATCGGAGTGACCAGTGGTCAAGCAATGATCGGAGTGACCAGCGGTCAAGCAATGTTAAGAATGACCTGTGGTCAAGCAATGGTTAAACTGACCAGTGGTCAAGCGTAAGTTTTCCCGAAATGACTATGGACATTACAGAGCTAGGGAACATAGAGCTAGGGAACATAGGGCTAGGGAACATAGGGCTGCCCCGCATAAAACAAATGGGCACACTTTCAAATAAGTTGCTAATGTTACGCTAAACAGCAGTGGAATTTGAGGTTTGATTTTTTAAAAGTGAATTTACAAATATTTCCTTTATTCCTAATGAAGTAATTCTTTAGAGTCTGTATATCTCCTTACAGATCCAAGGACACTTCTTTCTTCTGCAGCAAATAATAGTAAGAAGAAAAATGTTAATACATTTAATGATGATGATGATACTACTACTATTACTAAACTACTACTACTACTACTACTACTACTACTACTACTACTACTACTACTACTACTACTACTGCTGCTACGAGGGCTGTCCCACGGAAAACCGGAAAAGGTGTGTAAAAGCAAAAATCTTTGTCCTATTATAATAAAACTGTAACACATTATACATCAACATGTGCTTTATTTCTCAATGTAATCACCATCCCGCTGGACACATTTTTCCCATCGCTGGATCTGGGAGAAGATACCCTCCCTGAAGAATCTTTCGTCAAGGAATTTCAACCAATCGTTCACGGCTTCCACGAAGTCTTCGTCGGAGGTGAATCGCTGTCCAGAAATATGGCGTTTCATTGGTTCAAAAAGGTGATAATCTGACAGGGCCAAGTCAGGACTGTGAGGGGGGTGTAGTAGAACTTCCTAGCCGAACCTTTGGAACCAGTCTTTCGTGACGTTTGTGGTGTGTGGGGTTGTGTTGCCATGCTGCAAAATGACCCCGCTGGTCTTTTTCGGCCCCAACCCATCAAGCAGAGACCTTTCAATAGTGCAGCTCATCAAACTCTATCCTATAGACAGTCTACTTTGAAATGTTTAGCGACTCGCAAATTTCGCGAATTTTTTAGGCGCCTGTCTGTTTGAATAAGTTCGTTAACGCGATTCTTGTTGTCCTCAGTCTTGGCAGAAAAACAAGATCCTGGGTAAACTTTGTCATTGATATCGGAGTGCCCGGCTTTGAACTTACTACATCACTCATATACCTGTTATTTTGCCATTACTTTCTCCCCATAAACTGACTTTATTTCAGTGTGTATTTCTAGAGGTTTGAGACCTTTTGCGGTCAGAAACCGAATGACAGACCTCACTTCTACCCTTGACCAATTTTCCAAGGGGGTAGCCATCTTTTGAGAACTGCTGTGCTCGTTTGGTTTGTGCGATGCTCATGGTGCTCAATTGGGAAATTTCTAAATGATTGTTTTACAAGTGTGCGTTTACAGAATGTGAAAATATTGAATAGTTTTCAAATTACTGCCAAATTCCGATTTTCCGTGGGACAGCCCTCATACAACTACTACTGCTGCTGCTGCTGCTGCTGCTGCTGCTGCTGCTGCTGCTGCTGCTGCTGCTGCTGCTGCAGCTACAAAATGATAACAATAATAATAATAATAATAGGCCTAAAAATAATAAAAATAATATAGGCCCCTAGTTTTAATTTTTCTTCTTCTTCTTCTTTTTCTTCTTCTTCTTCTTCTTCTTCTTCTTCTTCTTCTTCTTCTCCTTCTCCTTCTCCTTCTCCTTCTCCTTTTCCTTCTTCTTCTTCATCTTCTTCTTCTTCTTCCACTCTTCCATCTTTCCTTTCTTCTTACAAATCTTTCTTTCTTCTCCCGTCTTTACTTCTTTCTTTCTTCTATTTTACTCCAAACTGCCTCGCTATTTAGTGCTCTGACGTAATTTGAATAACCTATGTGGGTGTGAACCTCACAAAACAAATCCACAGGGCTGGAGTCTGTCGAATCCACCCGACTTTGACCTGGCCTCAGTGCCCTTATTTGTCTGTGAGGAGGAGGATAGGAGCCGCGAGACCATCACCTACAGCTGGGTGTGTGACGGACGGAATGACTGTCCCAACGGTAGAGATGAGGCTGTTTGTCAGAGGAAAAGAACAAGTAAGTTTGATTTAATGACCGCCATAAGTCAGCTCCCTATCTGTCTTTTTCAAAGTATTATAACATATATTTGTGTAAAGCTATATTTTAAGCTTTCAAGTGCATAAAAGAGCTTATAAATTTAACAAAAATGCTCTTCGGAGACCTTGTTGTAAACCCAGTGGAACATTTAATAAACTGCGGAAAGATGACCAGAAAATAACACAATCAGCTTATGATCTTCACACAAGTTGCACTAACAATTTTTTTGACAAATTATATTTTTATAGTCTACCTCATTCTATTATTTTTTCACACAATTTTCTTCTCTATTCATGACAATTACCTATTGTTTTGAGTTATTATCAACTAGCAATTTTCATTGATGAGCACAATTTAAAAAAAAATACAAAGTCAGAGACTTTAGAATCTACTGGCCATATAGATTATATAAAAGAAAATGGCATAATTTGATAATGTAAAAAGTAAAAATATCCAGAAAATAATAACATAAAATTATTAGGTACTGAAAGTGAAAGACTAAGTAGAGGCTTAATTAGATCTCTGTTACGAGTACGTCTGTTCTCTACTACTATCTTGTATGTTTGTGCAAAACTGATTTTGAGAAAAAGCTTCTCAAATTAAAGTAAAAGTGATAGTTATGATGAGATTTATTATTAACTCTGGAAAATATAGCTAGATGCTGAATCTAAAATCAATGAGAAAACTGTGCAATTCAAGTTTTATTTCAGTTCCAAAGCCCAAAGGCAAACATAGATATAGTTAGATCTAGCAGATGCTGGAATCTAGATTTAGCTATCATCTGCACTATTCAAGAGCCAAACATGGTAAAAACCCCCAAAAAACTGTGAATTCATTTGTCAGTCCGTTCATAATTTCATAGCCGCGTGTATTATTATTATCTGGAGAAACAAGTGAAGCGCGAATAAATGCGATGCCAGTACAATAAGTTATCACAGTGTGCAGGGGAGAGAGAGTTTTTATTTTATACATTGTAAAAATTGCCTTGTTTTCAGAAGCAAATATTTCCAGTTCTACGGAATCGATTTTCACACGAAGACTGCCATTTCAAAGATATTTCTTTTCCTTTTAAAAAGATGTATCGGATGTGGTAGTGCGATTCACAAAACAAAACAAAACTGTGAGTTGTTAAGACCCACTATAACGCGAGGCTTCACGGCTGGTCACAAAAATCTACGGGACGTATGGTGGCCATATCACCCTGCCGCGAGCGCGTTCACTAAATTGCCTATTATGAGTCTTTATGCTTTTCCTTTCACGGGAGTACTGGAAAGAGTAGGCCATGTTATAAAAACGAAATTTTGGTGCTTGAGTTAATGTTTACAGCACTTTTTCAAAAAATAGAAAAGTGGCATTTTTGTGCCTGACCATGTGGTGCAATATTTTTATTCTTTGTTTTTGTTTTTTTAAATGAAGTTTAATTCTCTGTTTATAAAAACGTACAACAATGTTTGATCACTGTCGCCCGTAAGAAAGATGGTTTTAGGTATTCAGTCCTGGCAACAGCAGAAATGTGCAGAGCACGCCGATGGCTCGATTTCTCTGATGTTGAGTTGAATCTTCTGTCTCTTTATGTGTGTCAATGATTCATTGTTAATGCATTTTTTGAGGAACACAGATCTCAACTTTATTTTTTTTTAAACCTAAAAATCAAAGATTAGAAATAAAACCTGCTTAGTGGTTGCCTCAAAATGCCATTAAAAAAATAAATTTTAATAAATAAAAAAATTCAATATTGGTACAGTGGATCTCCTTTTCAGAGTACTTAGTATTACTCACGAGAAAGCAAAAGCGTAAGGACTCAAAGTATATTGAATACAGAATCAAAAAGTGGTACCATTTGATTTTTATCACCAGTATTCTATCTGTCTTTCTATCTTGTCTATAGCCTATCTGTCTGTCTGTCTGTCTGTCTGTCTGTCTGTCTGCATGCCTGCCTGCCTGCCTGCCTGCCTGCCTAGTCTCGTCTAGTTTCGTCTAGTCTCGTCTACTATCTATCTATCTATCTATCTGTCTTCTGTCTTCTGTCTAGTCTATCTATCCTACACACTCATACACCTGTGCGGGTATTCCCACTTCGCAGAAAACCTAATATATAGGCCCTACTTTACGAAAGAAAAAAAAATGTACTGCAAATTTTGATAGCTCTTTATGATGAAGCGATTCAATTAACCTTCTATAGTGTCCACAACAAGAAATACTATTGTGAAAATTATGACCTACTGCGCAGCTGTTATCAAGGCAATCAAAATGAAATGACAAATATTTATATGAACTTCATGGGTTAACAATATTTGCTCCTAGCCCCCCCCCCCCCCCCCCCCACCCCCTCCCCCCGATTAAAAAAAGGAAGACGAAACCATAAGCAAACAAAAATCGCTAAAGTTTGATATATGAATTCAAACGCTTTTGTCCAAACATGAATAAAGAGGCACTAGACAGTTACTGACAACATAATACTGTGGTAAAACATTTGTCGTTTGAATACGTTTGTGTTCTCTTTTCCAGAAGAGCAGGACGTTACGATCCAGCGGAGTTGGTGCCCTTTCTCCACCCCAAAATCCTGCGTTCTGTGTCTGGACACTATGGGGAATCCCCTATATATGCCCGAAGAGAGTGGATATTCCTGTGGTGAGCAGTGTTAATTCATTTGTTTAGTGGTTGATTACTTAATTCATTTATCAACTCGTTTATTCACATGTTTATTGATTTTTTTGGTTGAATTATTAATAAAATAATGTATTAACCTATTTGTGTATTTATATGTGTATGAGTTTATTCATTTGTCATTATTAAACGAACATGTAATACTTTAATTAAATAACTGTTTATTAATGTGAATAACATGAAGTAACGATTAGGCAGTTTGACCTGCGAGCTGAGCGGATTTTCTTCAGTAATCCCATCTTTTTGCCTGCAACCTAGGCCGGCCTCAACTCAATTGATCCAAGTAGTTCACCTTTTTAAATAGTCAAGATTGTATCGATAATATAAGGCATTTACATCATGATTCCTGAGTCCCTTAACCCTTCCTGAGGGGGTATCTGCATTGCTGAATGCTGCTCAAGCTGTCTGCTGTAAGCTGACAAAACACCTTTTTAAAAAAAAATTCAAAACAGTTTGTGAGAGAAAGTGGGGTTTTTTTTGGACAGCGTAACTATTAAAAAATAAAGTGCTTCCAAAATTTGAACTCTAATTTTTTCAAAAACTATTCACAGTTGCACTTTGATTTTTTTTTTCACCCAAGTAGGGTAACTGATCAGGCTTTCGATTTGGCAAATACAAATTTTGGGTGCAAAGTGTAAACAGGTGTTTTGTCAGCTTACAGCAGACTGTCTCCACCTGTGATAGTCCGTTGCATGGATTGGGAGACACTGGTGTTGTGTTCATTTTCATGCGGTGTGTCTATCCCTCTCCAGGCTACATTTACATAATATTCACATGGCAGCAAAAATATAAAACTTTTCTTTTCTGTTCTTTCTTTTATGCTTTGTTTTGTCTTCTACTTCGAGGTATCTACTTTTTCCCTCTCTTCTTTCTCTCATCTATTTTCTATTTTTTCCAGTTTGTCTCCTCTTTTCTAGATATCTTTTTGCTTTTTTTCCCCCTGTGTCATCCTTTCATGATAACCTCAGTCAAACCTGCCCTGACGGCCACCTCTATAAGACGGCCACCTGTACAAACGGCCACTTTTCATTTCCCCCCTTGCGTTTTTCCTATATAATTTAATTGTGTGAAACGGGCACCTGTCCAACACAGCCACAGCCACCATATTTTAACACACAACCCCTATTACACTGAGCAATAACACCTGTCTTAGACGGCCACCTTAGTGACTCCATTACGTTTTGTCATAAATTGTGCACCGGCCCCTGGCGTTGTTGGCGAGCCGTCATAATCCAATCACCTATCGTTTTTGCAAGTAGTCCCTCCAACCGATCATGTTGCATAGGCCCCTCCCACTGTTGACCAATAGTTGCCAATTTTCAGCTGCTGGTGAGGTAAACATGTGATCCCTCATAACCCATAAGCCCTGCCCTGAACTCATACACAAATCATAAGTGAGTTGAGTGGTCACTGTTTACCCAGTCTGTAACAAAGTAACAATGGACGTCAATGTGAACTTGCGACAGAAGCGTCACTCGTTCTCAGAGTGGTGGTGACCCGTGTGTTTGTTTTAATATGGCACTCGATCTTCCTTCGTCTGATACATTTCGTTTTATTGTCACTCTTGCGCAAAATCAGCAACAAAATAAAAATAACAAACAAAATACAAACCAACAACAACTAAAACAACTAAAACAAGAACAATGCGGTTACTTTCGATTGGGACTCCAGATGGGAATGGTTTGTTTTCTTCATCTTGATCAGTCCTGCCTAAGACGGCCACCTGTCTTATACGGCCACTTTTCTCCTTGACAATGGGTGGCCGTCTTACATAGGTTTGACTGTACTCCTTCCTGTTTTGTTTTTTTCTCTCCTATTTATCTATTTCACTTGTTTTTTATTCCTTCACCTCTTATCTTTCCAGAGCGCATAATGTGTCCGGATGGCTATGTGAAATGCCCCATGTCCTACTGTATCCCGGTTCACTTTGTCGGGGATGGAGCAGAGGACTGTCCACAGGGGGAGGATGAGTTACCTTTTGAGTTCACAGACAATGGAGTGGTGACAGAGAGGAAAGGTTTGGTATCTGTCTTTTGATTGGATGGCTGATCAATGGGATATGTTTGGGGGTGGGGGGGGGGGGGATTTCTGCAGAATACACAAAAAACGACATGTGGTGACAGAGAGAAAAGGTTTTGGTATCCGTCTTTTGATCGATGATTGGTTGAAAGAGGAAAGTGGGGTTGGGAGGGGGAGATCGGAGGGGGGGGGGGGGTGTACATCCATTTTAAAACACTTTGGCATTTAAACAGACGGTAGCTAGGAATTAAAGTAAAAATATTTTGTTTCCTTAAGCTGCGGCAGAAGTTAATGCACCAGGTGTGACTGTGGGTCTGTGGATGGTTAGAGGATGAAGTGAACACATAAGATGTCTGATCTGCAGCAGACAAAAGGCAATAATTCAGCACATTCCGAAACATAAACAGATCAAAAACGCAAATCCGCAGATTTTTTAGTGTGTGTATTTTTGCTTGTCTTTTTAAGTCTGGGCTAAAGAAAACATAACTGAAAAGTCTGTGCAATTAAATAAAGTAATAATAATAATATTAATAATAATAATAATAATGTATGGCTTTAATACAGTGCACAACCCCGATAAAAGTATGTAGGCACTGAGTGCTTTACAAAATTACATTAACTTGTAAACAGTACACTGTGTTCTGACTTAAAAAAAAATTCTCTTAATATTTATCTCATTCATTTAGAACTTATAACAGTCATAAAAGGTGTCATCGGTAGCCAAATAGTTAGGCTACCAGACCCATAATCGTGAAAATGTGGGTTTGGGGGTTCGAGCCTCAGCTCGGTCCAACGTTGTGTCCTTGGGATAAACGCTTTACATGAATTTCCCATTTGGTTAGATCCTTTTGGAGATGGACGCTAAACTCTGAGGTCACGCCTCTTAAATAAGCTAACAATGTTGATTGGGGCGTTAAACCATTTCACCATTTTTTTCACAGTCGGACACGCCACAAAATAGTAGGAGCACATGAAAAAGGCTACCTGTTGGTGTGATCACGACACACCCTTTCTTTTCCTTAATTAAGTTCTCCAAAATAGCGCTACTTCAAGCCTTGTCAAACAACCAAAACGTGGGTCCATAATGAGTTAACTATCCCTTTGATTTTTTGTTTGTTTTTGTTTTTGTTTTTGTTCATTGTCCTGATTGGGGTGCCGATATATTTACGCCATGTAAAAATGTGCTTACACGGTACAAATTGTAATGCTTCATGAAAATCGAAACAAGAAGAAGGGAAATTGTTTGGTATGTGATGATGATGATAATAATAATGATGATGATGGTGGTAATGGTGATAATGTTGAAATGTTGGAAATGAGGTGAAGGTTAATCCTGGTGTGAGTTTATTTCAACTAATGATTTGTTGTCTCGTGTCTATCTTGTCTAGTTTTTTAAACTCAAAATTACTGTTACTGTATTGATGTGCCTCTCTGTACTCAAACCAAAGATAGTAAATAACAAGATGGGCCACTCAGCCAAAAAAGTGTCCGCAGGGAGTATGCTCTTTGCTTCAGATGGCGCTGCAGTCTGTTTTGAAGCTCTCTTTCGTTTTTCCAGAAGAAGAATAGGAATAGCACCTCCTTGCGTGCGCAGATCGACTGCTGTTCATCAGCAGTTCGGGTACGTTCAGTGCGGAGTTTTAGTTTTTAAAAATTTTAATGACCTCTCGCCTTTCATTCTAAAGTCAAATTAAATGAAGAAAACCATCACCCTTTCCTCCGGATGAAATTTATCCCAAAACTTGCTAGTTTCACTTTGATTTTAAAAAACTCAAGTAGGGTAACTCTGTTCGCAAAGAGTGCGCTTTTGTGAAGAGGGCGCCACCAAATTTTGAGGACACTTTTTTAATTGGCTGAAAGAGAGAAGTGGCCCATCTTGGTATGTACTATCTTTGCTAAAACCAACCACCTTTCTCTGGCATCTGAAACAGCCAACGGTAACTACCAGTGCCGGTCTGCGGGAGCAGAAACCTCACTCTTCCTTCATCCGGTCAAGCTGTGTGATAACGTCATGGACTGCCCACTGGGGGACGATGAACTGGACTGCCAGATTCCCGCCTGTGGACCCGGCCTCACGTGTGTCGCTGACACTGTCACGGTCAAGGACGCTCGCAAGGTTTGGGTTTGGATTATTAGTTTAAGCTTATGCCTTACTGAACACAGTGGGGTGTATTTACAGGGGAAAGTAGACTGACTTTTGATTTCTCTACTTAAAAAAAGAGAAGAAAAAGCCTGCAAGTTGTTACAAGTTCTTTCTTTCACAATAGCTCATTAGTATTGACTTAATAATAATAATAATAATAATAA